CTACATTATCTTTTATCTATTCCTCTCATTTCTGAAGCTATCCACCATTCCCCTGAGGAGTTTTTGCAAGATACATGTTCTCATCTTTTCTCCATGATGGCACATTTATCTTCTTCAGCTTTTTCCTTCCATATATGGTTGCTTTGTTATTGGGATCTCTTGGGCAGGTATACCCTTTTGTTGCAAGTGCATTTGCCGTCATCTTATCCGTATGACCTTTGCCTTCCTCCTTTTCTGTATCAGTCTATTTTTTTAGATGTTCCTAATACTTTAGAGACCCCTGTGGAGATGACACACCAACATTCCTCTGTTTCTTCTCTTGTTTTTCATCTTTCTTAATCCTTTACTGTTCTTATTCCTGTTTCTCAACCTCCAGCTTCCTCTCCTCTTCCTCTTACCAACTTCCCATATTTCAGCTTCTAGTTGTCAGGTCTCCCATCATCACTTTTTCAGATGTCAGTATTGTAGATGACTGATCCTTGGGGTTCTGGATCCTTGTGGGCACAGTTGGCCACATTTGTTTCATCTGTGGCACCCTTTTTACAGCAGATTGTTGGTTTCTTCAAGTTTTAGCAGAAGGATTGATTCTTCATTTTTCTACTCTTCCTCCATCATCTCCAGTTCTCATTTCTTTTCCTTCTCCTCAAGATCCACTTTCTTTCCAGCATCTTTCCAAGGTGGTTTTGCATCTCTTGCAGAGAAGTTGTATCTTCTTCCTCCAGGATTTTATTCCTGTCTGTTCAATGTCACCAAAAAATGGGATTGGTGTCCACTTATCGATCCCTTGAACCTCAGATACTTCATAAACCTCTCTGATTTTACCATGCAATGTTTCCTCAATCTCAGACTGTCATTCACTCTAGGTCTTTGGATGACCAAGGTCAACATCACTGATGCTTACCTTCATATTCCTATTTCTCCTGCATCCAAGTGTTACCTTCAGTTTGTTCATGGGAATCAGTTGTTTGAATTCTGCTCTCTACCATTTGTTCTAGTGTTGACTCCATACAATTTCTTTCATTAGTCAGATCCTTTGGCCATAATGTTCACCACCTGGAGCTGTGGTTTCACCATTATTTGGATGAATGGCTCCTTCCCAGCAAGCTTCTCATGACCATACCCATCTCCTTCTTCAGGAGGTGGCTTGTTTGAGTTGACTTGTCAAACTGGAGAAGTCACACCTCACTCCTACTCAGTATCTTATTCACCTGGGGGTGTTTTTCAACTCCCACCTCAGCAGGGCCAGCTTTCTCCCCTGCATTTGAGGGATATGGAGTGCTTGTTATCCAAAGCAAGGACTTCTTCTCTCCCTGCATGTATGGTTCTCTCTCTTTTTGGGAGCCTGGGCTTCCATGGAATCCCTCATCCCTTGTGGTCATGCATACTTGCATTGTCTTCAATATGTGTTGCCAGTTGAAAGAACTTTGTCAAGAATTCCTTGGATTCCTCCATTTTTCTTCCATCCATCCTACAAGTCGACTTTGCCTGGTGGCTTGACAGAGACAACACCTCAGCTGGCACTCCTTTTTCTTATCCTGATCTTCATCTCTTTATAAATGCATCTCTGACAGGATGGGGGGCATACTTAGATTCTCAGGAGATGGCCAGTCATTGTCTGTGGTTTAATCAACTCTACACGTCAATCTTTTGGAGCTTCTGACTATTCATCAGACATTGGGTCATTTCCTACCTGTTGTATGGGGCCAACTTGTTATGATCCATTCTGATGATTTTACCATTGTCTATTATATCAACCATCAATGGGGCACCCAGTCTTGTTTTCTTTGTTTTCAAACACTGGATTTCCTTTTCTGGGCCCAACCTCAACATGTTCAGCTTATTGCTTTTCACATCCTGATAGCTCTGTATCTTTTTGTGGGTCAGCTCTCTCATCCTGACAAGATTGTACCAACAGAGTGGTCTGTTGCTCCTCAGGTGTTCCAGTGCTTATGTTCCCAGCTGGATACTTCCTTCTGGATGCCTTTTCCACCTACCTAAATATCAAACTTCCCTTATTCTGGCCTCCTGTTTCACATCCTTCAGTTTTGGCTGTGAATGCATTCAGGATTGATCCAATCCTTATTTGTATGCCTACTCTCCTATCTGCCTTCTTTCCCATGTCCTCTCACTTATTCAAACCAGTTCTTTTTCATTGCTTCATTCTTCCCAACACAGAAAATATCACTTTCTCTTTCCCAATCCCTTCTCTGGCAACCCCATTCCTCCCTTGTTCATCCAGCCATATCCACACTCTATCTTCACACATGGGTTTTGTTTGGTTTTTTAAGAGGTATTACAGACTCTCTGTGTGGGTAGCCTTCTTTCTTTCTGATTCTGTTCATTTTTCTTCTTTGCTAGTGTAAATGGAGCATTTTCCATTGCTGGTCTTTGCATCATGGCTTCTCTCTCCTTCAAAACCAAATGTTCCCTACCTTTCTGACCTTTTTTACATGGCATTTTGACAATAATTTATCCATTTCTACCATTACAGGCTATAGAGCAGCATTATCCAAATACTTTTACTTTTTCTTGTTGCTATTATATTTTTTCCTCTCCCATTCTTTCTCTGCTGTTTTGATCCTTTTTGGCTTCTTTGTACTCCCCATCCAGTTGCCTTACTATATTGGAATTTCAACATTGTCCTTCATACTCTTACTTTTCCTTTCTTTGAGCCTTTAGCTTCTTCTGTTTTGTACCATCTCTCCTTCAAGACGTTTTTTTTAATCCTCTGTGCATGTGGACATCATTTTTGCTTTTGATGTGTCCTATATTCTTTATCATTGTTTATAAGTTCTCCTTGAACCTGATTATACTTTTTTCCCCAAAAACATGTGTGGCATGCGATGGGAACAGCATGTTCATACCTATTTCCCTTCCATCTATTGATCATCTCTATTTCCGATCAGGGCCTGATCATCTTCTTTGTTCTGTGCTATCTCTTCATTGTAATGCCACCTATATGGCTGCTTTTCATAGTTCCCATTTATTCCCTGAAACTTCTTCTCTACCCATGATCTCTATTCTGTAACCCTTACTGGTTGGCTACATCAACTCGTTCGTATAGCTTATGCGTCTTTGTGTGAGGATTCTCATTGCATCTTTCACATTTCCTCTCACCAGATCCATCATCTCACCCTTTCCCTGGCTGCTCATTTCCATCATCCATTAGAAGGGATTGTGCAAGCTGGCATGTGGTCTACACCTCACACATTTATCATGCATTACTTGCATCATTTGGCTGTCTCTTTCTCATCTGGATATCATTTGCCAGTCCTTGCTATTCTCCATAACCCTTATAGGCTCTGAAAGGGTAAAATCAAAATTTTAATATCTTACCTTTACAGTGGCCTCTTTCAACATTCCTGGATATCTGGCTCTCTGATTAGTGGTGCCTGGCCAGGTATATTTAACTTTAAATCCATACCATGCAACCTTTACAGATCTAAAATGCTCACTAATTAGATGGGATATTCCACAACACCACTAAAGGGTTCCTCATGGTATATTTCTTCATAAGTAAGATTTTTTTCAGATTATAGTAACTCATGGAATATAATGAGTGAGGCAGTGTCAGGATTGCTGGTTATCCCTCTAGTCCTAGTTGAATAAACGAGGACTGCCCTTATTTTCAAAATTGGGTTTTCATGATCACCCATTGCAATGTCTTAAAGTGTTGCATTCCTCTGGACTCCCCACTGTGTTGTTTGCCCTCTCTGCTAGTGGAGTATGGGAGTCCTTGCCACTTACAAGTGCCTAGCTGCTGGGGTGGTAGATCATGGAGGATTCCTCCTAAGTGTGACCACTTCCATTTAGTTGGGAGTAGGGTGGTGCTGAAGATGTTGAGTACTCTCCTCCTACCATGGTGTGGAAGACAAATACCCCTTACTGCCTGATTGTGGATGGGAAAAACCCACCACATGCAGTTAACCCCTCTGGCTGGCTTTCCCCTGTTCTACCACTGCCTGGATGCCAGTTCTTGGGCAGTCTAGTGTTGGATCGGCATAGGATCAGCCAACATGAGTCCTCATACATGTGGTTGGTAGGGGCCCTCCTCCTACTGCAGTCTGGACAAAAAATTCCTTACACTGCCTGGTTTTGGACCGGAGTTGACCCACCATGTTTGCTCCCCCCTTCCTACATTATCTGGATGTTGAGTTTTTGGGTGGCCTGCTATTGGTTGTATGTTTGGTCTACACACACTTGGTCTGTCTGGGCTGTTGGAACAGAAGTTGCTTTTCCATTCAGCTTTCTGGTCTTGAGGTGTTAATTAGACACTCCTCTTACTGTAAACTGTAAGAAATATACATGGTGGTGCCTAGTTTTTGACTGGAGATGACCCACTGAATATGGTCTGATTTATCCTAGCCACTCTTCACCATATGACACATCCAATTACTCATTAGACTGTCATCTTTTCTGCCCAAATTAGTGAGACATATCATTACAAAAGGTGAAAAGTATACAATATACCTGGTACAAGTGGGGTGCAGTCTCCCACAAGTGTGACCCTATACATTAAGGTATCATACTCCATTGGTTCTCTTTAGAAGAGTACTCATCTAGGTAAATTTTGCATTGGTCCATCCACCATTTTTGATGTGGGATTCTATTATGTGAGTGGAGTTAAGGTAGGGTATCAAAAGTTAACATTTTCCAATGCTGAAAATGTATTTCCGATAGATACTTACTTTTTGCCACTCATCCTTCCTTCTTCAGGTGTATCTTTTTTGCGTAATCTTGAATTGGTGATTGTGCTCTATAAAGTAGAAAGAGTCAGTTGCACTAGGAGGGTGTATCACACTCCTAGTGCTGGAGAGTTGTTACATGCTCATTTGCATGCTACAATGCAGCTATACTATGTGTAGACTGTAGACATGTGATGTTAGGTGGTAGCCTCAAGGCTAGTGGCAAGCAAAATGTGTGCATATAGAGGTAAGTATCTATCAGAAATACATTTTCATTGTTAGAAAACGTTAGCTTACAACTTTCTCAATGTGTAGGTAGATGTTGAGATTCCAGAATCTTGGGAAGGCAAAGAGGTTCATTTGCGCTGGAATTCTAATTCTGAGGCTATGGTATGGAGTGATAATGGAATTCCACTTCAGGGACTGAGTGGTAAGTCTGTGTTTTTTTATACTATAATTTGATTGTGTTGCATTTACATTGCATATTATTTAATTGCCTGTAAAATATTTTGGATTAGAAGTTTAGCTTTGATTTGGGTATGTGTCATATCATGAAAGTGAGAGAAAGATAACCAAAAAATGAGAATGGTTTTTCTGTTTTCAGAACTATCTGCATTCTTTGACAACTGTTTAATACAAATACAGAAACTATTTGAAGCATGAAATTCACCAGAGCTGGTATGAATAATGTTGTACAAATAGATAGTACCTGATGATGACAAAACCTTGTCGAAACGTTGTACATTTGCTGTTATATTAAAGTTTTTCTTCGTTACCCATTCAAGCCATCTCCAGCCATTATTAGTCTCAAAGTGGGTTCCTCGTCATCGAAAATAGATAGTGTTGGCAATGTTACTAGAAAAAGTAATGACCTCACTTTGGCTGTTACCTGCAAAAAAATAGTAGTTTCGTTACCCAAAACATTACTTATTTAAAAATGTAGTAAGCCATTACTCGTTATTTTAAAATAGATACGTGTATTCTTTCTATAAAACATGCACCGTGTACATTGTGTATTATATATACATGTATACAGAACTGAACTAGAAGGATTGAACTCAAGACAAAATAATGCATTATACATGAGAGGTTTTAGAATACCAATTAATGGAGCTACATTTATTTATTTTTTTATAATATTCAAAATAAGAGCAACATATGACTTACACAATACAAGAAAAAAGGAATACAAATAACTGAAATAATAAATAAATAGCCTATAAATTAGTGTGAAATAATCTAACAGAGTTTACTTCGTGTAGTAACTGCAGTGTTAAAATGATTATTTTGGGAGGCCAAGAAAATAGCTATTTTGAAGCCTGCATCAGACATTTTTCCTGTTTTCACTGGGAGCACATTTTTTCCAACTGAAAAAACCCTCTCAACTATGGCACTTGACAGAATAGCTGTATTTAATGAAATGAAGACTGACTTTGAGACTGCATCTGGAAATGCATCATTGTGAACAGACTTTATGAGAGAGTTATCTAGAAAAGCACTAACTACTTGAGCACTTTTGTGTTCAGTACTTCTTACCCCCTTTGTTTGCAGGAATCTAATATAATCAGCTTCAGCTTCAGTTTCTGTCTTGCTATCTTGATTAGGTGATTCTGTACTGCATTGTCCTGTGCATATTTTTTTGTCAAACTTGTTCTTTCAGATTTTCTGGAAGCCAGGAGATCTTGAAGCTAGGATGTAAATATGATGAAAGAATTGAATAGTCATTGTTGAACATGCTGTCATTTGTAGTTTCTATGGTTTGAATTAATTCTTCAATTGAGAGTTTAGAAATTTGCAACCATGTATTGTTCAAATCCCCAATTTGGCTAGATAAACATGCTAGGTGGGAATCAGTAGTCCCTTAAATGCTTTGTTCTCACACTGCAAGATGTCAGTGTCCAGTTGATCAAAAACTTGGTCTAGCACTTGACTCATTTCCAGATATTAACTTATTTACATGACTTAGGGCATCAAACATTGAATTATAATGAGTCGGACAAGGAACAATCTAGCATCTCCGTATTTCTTTTTCAGTTGTGCTGGCAACTACAGTGCTTGTGCTCTGTTTATTACATAAGGCTAGATCTTATGCTGTTGCTGATTGTGACACTTTTTGTTTATACAAGCATTATTTAAACCTTTATCTACATCCTTAGTAGCAACATATGAGAGGCGCACCTTTGATGGTCTGTCAAAATGTACATACACAAACAAGGTGATACCTCATCATCAACAGCTAGTATATAGCTAGAGAATGAATTTCTACAGAGTCTTTGTCTGAGTCATCATCATCATTTTCATCTATGACAGCATCATCACCACTACCAGCAACATCACCATATAGTTGGACAGGAGAGATGGTGGACACAATATTGGAGAACAGTCTGTAAAAGAACTATTATCACTATTATTTAATCTTACAATATAAGTGCAAAACATAATTTTGACATTAAATGACTTGGCTGATAATCTGACCACGAAGGGCAATGTAGGATTATGTTATTCCTATTTCGATGCGTTTGTTGTATATATATTGGATGTTGTGTGTGTATATATATAACCTTTTCATGATGATGAATGGTTTGTTTAATATTTTGTTGTGGCTAACACCAGACAATTTTATTAAGATGAAGAAAAGATTCCCAGGCATGAAAGGGATAATCTTCTTACTATAATGGACAAAGCAGGTATGACACTATCTATGTATGTAACCAAAACTCCTGTGTCATCTATTGAATGGCACCACAAACAAAAACCATATAAATATTTCACACTTTGGGTATAGAAGATTCAGACAATTACAAAAATAACTATGGTAATGTGCAACAACCATTTATTTATAATAGAACACAATTTGAAATAAAAGTACTTACTCAAAACAAAAACACGACTTTTACTAGAATTGTATGTAAAGGTTTGATTACATCTGTAATTTATAAATGTAGTACTGAGAAACTAGAGTTTTTAAAAAACTATTATTTTTCCAATAAAGGGTAGCACTTTTAATATATAAAAACATTACAGTTTATCTCAGTAAAATTTATGAAAATTTTGAGCTCTTAACATTGAGTCATTTTGATGCAATGAGTTGCATTTAACTAAAGAGAACAATCTGAACACTTTTCCCATGCAGTACTTCCCAGAAAAAAAAATCCTTTTTTAGAAAATTTTCACATTTTCTGAAATGTTTTCAATGAGGTATGAATATTATGATTAGACAAACAGCCACCCATAGTGTGGTGTATTTGCTAGTTATATGAATGTGGGTTATAATTTATACATGTTACATAGTTAATATATATTTTCTCTCACATTATTTCCTTCCTTCATTTATTAACTTATTTCCACACCCATGTTTGTATAATACAAATTGTTCTCTATCTCTCTCTCATTACATATTCTTAACATGATATTTTATATCCTCTCTCTAATTGGCCAACACATGTGTGATGTCACAAATGGGAGTATTCTGCAGAGGCAGTGGGGTGGCCATGGAAAATACAGTTGCTGCTCACTTGACTAAGGCCTATTGCTTGGAATTGTACATGTGCAGTAATACAGTTGTGAATTGGCAAATTCATATAACTTTAAAAGAATCCTGCCCATCCACACCTATAAAAACCTGACATTGAATAGCCAGCCAAAATTATATAGTGGTAAATGGCAATAGAATAAGATGTGAATGACAGTGGGAGTAGGCTTATATATGTACAATCGTAGTGGTTGCAAAAATGGTTGAGATTACAATCACACTATGTAGACATGATGACTGATTTTGAAATGTGGATAGAGAGAGGTGAGCAACTTTGGCTAAAAGATGGTGATCTATAAGAGTTTGTTTAAAAACAAGAATACACAGAGAGAGAAGAGTATATGCAGAGAAGAGAGGAAAAAAGACTAAAAGAAGAAAATTAAATAGAAAGACTGAAAGAAGAAAAAGAGAGACTGGAAATAGAGAGAATAAGAGCACAAATTAAGAAAAAGAAAAGGAGTGAGAGGAGATACTGGAAATAGAGAGAATAAGAGCACAAATTGAGATCACAAAGATCACCCAACAAGAAGACAAAGGATTGAAGAATGACAATGGTGCCAGGGCCAGCCAACCCAAGGTGCCAAAAGTTGATGAACAGAAAGACGACATGGATGCTTTCCTGGAGTGATATGAAAGACTTGCCCAAAGCCAGTACTAGGACAAAGGCAACTGGGCAGTCTGTCTTACTGTTAAATTTAACTATTTTTTATTATCCAAACTAGAAATATATCTAAATTGAATTTAAATATAAATCTAGATTTATTTCTAGTTCAATAAAAACAATTATTAAACAATTGGCCATTTTATTAAATGTATTACTTAATATTCTACTTGATGAAATTAAAAATGTAAATATTAATAATAAGAAACACACGTTTTGGATAATAAAAAAATAATCAACCCATTTTAGAATACCTAAATAACTGTAAACAAGTGAAAAATAATCAAACATTTGATTTTATCACACTGTACACCACAATTCCATTGAAAGATTTAATTTCTGTTATTCTTTCATAGTACTGGAAGAAAGAAAATTTAGCTCCAAAAATACAAAAGATATATTAAGTTTCTACATCTATAATAATAATGTTTTTTTCAATAACCAGGTATTTAAACAAGTAATAGGAATTCCAATGGGAACTAACTATTCTATTTGTGTTGCAAATTTATATCTTTATTTTTATGGGAACAAGTTTATTGAAAGTTGCATAAACCCAGACAATTTTGCCTTAACTTACAGGTATATAGATGATTTAATTAGTATAAATAATCCTGAGATAAATAATTTTATTAATACTGTTTATCTGGTAGAATTATAATTTGAAAATACTTTAATTTCTAATGCAGAAAGACATTATTTAGATCTTGAAATTAAAATAATTGACAATGACATCAATCTAAATGTTTTTGATAAAATAAAATATTTTTCTTTTCCAAAATATGTCTTACCCTCTTTTAATAGTAATGTGCCATACTCTTCTGGTATAAGTATTATAACTTTGAAATTATTCAGATTTTGTAAAATTTGTAATAAATTACAATATTTCATAATGAATGTTGAAATATTAATGCAAAAATTAATATTCAATGGATTTATTAAAGAACCTCTGAATAAAATTATTAAAATATTCTGTGATAAATATAAGAACATATTAAATAAATATAAAGAATTAAACATTAAGGAGATTTTGCTGATAGTTTCCAATAAGTAGTTTTAGTTTTAATAAGGTTATTTAAGCAACTTGGTACTACTTTTATGTGGATGAACACCTTATCGCATATAAAGGCTTGTGTAGAGTCTGAAAATTGGTAGTTACAATGGATTTAATGGGTGGTGGTTGGGAGTTATACTAGTTAGTTTAGATAAATTGATTCGGATTTTATGCTAGTATAATTTGTTCACTGTGCTACTAGTTAGTGCTTTACTACTACAATGGGGGCTGGAATGCCAACCTCAGGAGGTAAGTTTACCTTACTTACACCCAAGTGGTAGTACCTTATTTCCTTCTTCATTTTCTTTCTTTCTTTCTTTTAATTTGGAGACCAGTCACCTTCCCACAACTGTCTGCAGGCAGTGAAGGGTGATATAGATGTGGGACATTGTGGGCTAGAGCACCCACATCTCGCTCTCCTAATTTCTACTTTTGATTATTTCATTTTTTTGAATTTCTTCATGCGAGACTAGTGAATGGAGATTAATACTGATAGAAAATGTATCCCCACCACAATGTGGGTCCTACTTCCACAGTCTCTTCCAAAACCCAGGGCACATTTTATATCCCACATTATATCCTGTGCCTTGGGGGTCATCTTGATTTGATTTTTGTTTGGGCTTGTTTTTGTTAATTTGGATGTTGTTTATCACAGGTTTGGATTTAATGCAGTCCTTCTTTCTGATTTTGTATTGCTTGCCTGTTTTAGTATTGATTTTTCTATATATATATATATATATATATATAATATATACCTGTCAATAAAGATATGTAGAAAGTTAGACAAAATTAGTGAGAGATATAGTCAATTAGATCTAGACTTCGTATTTGTGAGTTTAGACATGAAGAGTATATATTGTCAATTTTAAAGTGAATTTATCACAGATTGTATTGTATCAACAGAGTAGAGAATAATAATTTGTCTTGTCGATTGTGTTTTAAAGTAATTGAAGTTAGTCCATTGTGTTTGTAGTCCTCAATGTTCACCATGTCTTCAAGCTGTGGTTTCAGGCCGAGTTTTATGCTTAAATCAATTACTTGGAATTGTTTCCATTTGTGAGTATCTTCATTTCTAGGAACTTCTATAGGGATAGGTGGTTTTGATTTACTTAATAAAATACAGCATTGTTTATTATGGATCTTGCCAAGTTCCTGGGAGCTTGATCTTCTTGATGATTGGTTATCTTATTGCCTGTAGTTCTTTCCACAGATTAGACTTTTCACTCTCTGGTCTTTCTTTTTACTTATACCTTTGGGTGTGGTGTCCAGTGATTAATGGGTTTACCACATTTTAATCACAAGGTCCCCCCCCCTCCCCTCTTCTGTCACTTATTTGTCTTCAGTTCTATACTCACTGACTGAATGTGAATTTTTTTCTGGTCAGGATTGTTTCTGATGCCTGTCTTCTTGTTTATTCATCACTTATTAATTCTTTTATGTTGTTTTGCATCTGTTGATTTATATATCTACAGTGATTTTTTTTTCTTACTAAAATGTAGCCAATCCAGAAGGTTTATAGGATGTCTCATTTTTGTTTCAGTAGAAAATTATTAATCTGAAAGATAACTATGCCCAAGTAGGGCTATTTGTCATTTATCTCATTCTAAAGGTGAAGAAAACTGAAAAACAATATCAAGAAGAAAGTTGATGAAAACGTTGTTGGCAGTTGTTACATTTTTTTAGCTACACACATATCTTTAGATAAGTACTTAACTCTATTTCAGTAATTAAGATATAAGTTATTGATATTAATAAAAAATGTACACTAAGTTGACATCTGAATCAAATTTAAGTTACTAGTCTACTGGACTAGTAGTTTGTCAGTTTTAGTGGATCATGGTAAATGTACTTGTCCACATGACTTATATCTTGCTACTGTGTTTAAATGTACTATCAACGAGAGTTATCCTATACTTTGTTGTACAAAGAAATGCTTGTAGCAATTCAGATTGGTGCTACATACACACATAAACACTCACTACAGATATTACTTGAATACACTGAGTAATTTGAATATCACTTACATAGTAATAAAGAATTCATTTTATTGAGCTTTGCAGTTAGTAATGCTCAAAATCGTTTCAATATTCATTTGTACTTCATTGATAAAATATTATTTTGTTTATGTTATGTTATTAGAAAAACATAAAATAATCTATACAACACAGTCTAAGATACTTGTTGATAATTAGAGTAAATTCAGCAACAAAAATTCTAACATAAGAGAATTAGGAAATTTTAGGTTGGATTTCCTCTAATACTGAAAATGTAACAGTCTGGAGTAAAAGATGTTGATAATGAATCACTATTTATGAATTAATATCTATGATACTGATTTTTGTTATCGATAAACCTTAAATAATTATGAGACTAATCTCAAGAAATTTGATATTGCAAATCAGTGAAATAGGAATTTTCTAGATAAAGATGTATGAACTTAGAAGTGAAGGAAGTTTTTGGCTCAAGTAATTACAAGTTTTAGCAACATGACACAACAATCTCACTATTCTGTACAATTGCTAATTCATAACAACTGAAGTATACAATTAATGATTCGTAAACAAACTTACCATAACATATTGCTTCTAAAAATAAGTAAGTATGACACCTGTACTATATAAACTATCTAAATTATAACACTCACATTAAACTTAAACAGTTGTATATATATATATATCAAACACATTTGTTTTAAGTACATGTATAATCATAATTTTCTTGCTAAAGATTCACACTCTTTTGACCTTCATAAATAACTTCTAAAAATGGTAAGTCGAACATGTCTAATAAAACTAAACAAAATAAAAAATAGTGAGAACAGTTCTACTATAATAATGAACATTGTCATAAACAGATAATCCAAATTAGTTAATTTAGTCAAGACCAAATCACATATGGATGATGCAAAGTTTATCTTACCTCCCATGTTCAGGGGAGCAGCAGAGGATGTGGAATGCTTCCTTCATAAATTTTTGCAAATGCCTGAAACTTCTGGTTGCATGTTTATTACTGTGTTTGGAAGGCTCAGTGTTCATTGTTATAGAACATTATCCGAGGAGCAGCTGGCTGACTGGGACGTGGCCCTGGCCTATCTGCATTGACTGTTTGAGCTGGTTGAAACTGAGCTGTCCATCAAGCTGAATTTACGGCTTGCAGAGGGTTCCATGGAGAATTTGGGTGCTTTCACCAATTATCTGTGCTTCTTGTACGGGAAAGCTTACCCTCAAATGACAGCTGAGAATTGCAATATCATATTAGTCAACAAGTTCATTAAGAGATTACTGAGTGAAGTTATGGGACATCACTTGGACTGGTGTGACATCTGCACACTAGGGTGGTTTAAGTAGCAATGAGATGATCACAGTAGAAAGAACATTAGCATGCCATGATTTACACTGGACCAATTCATATTCATTGGTGCCGTATAGTGTAGTTGTTAAACATACAAGGTTCACTATCTGTGGGAGGGGTCATGTCCCCATGTTCCTTTGCAACTATGGCTCATCAACACTTTAGCTTCCTACAAGAATGGCCATTGTCATGAAATGTGCAGCAGAGGTAGTCAATACTAGCAGTGGTGTTAAGGTTACTTCTGTCACATCATGTCTGAAATCTCATACTCAACTTCCAGTACACCTGAAATTTCTAGTTGAGGATTGCAGCAACAATATGGATTCATTTCAGTGACAGAGTCTAAGTGATCTGCTGGCAAAGTATTCTGATGTATGTGTTGGACCTGGCAGGCGAACATCACTCACCACCACCACATAGATATAGGCTATTCGAGTCTTGTTAAACAGCCAGTTTACTGACTTCCCTGGCACACTAGGGAAATAGCTAGCATTAAAATAGCACATACACCAAAGGACTGGAACATCCAGCCCTTTAAGAGTACATGGTTATGATCAGTAGTAATTGTCAGGAAGAAAGGTGGTAGCCACAGGTTCTGTTTACTTCCACTGGATAAATTCTGTAACTTGTGTAGATGCCTTCCAAATAACACAAATGGATTAATGTCTGGACATGCTGGAAGGTGCCCAGTGAAATTCGTTTCATTTTTAAGGTAACAAAAGTATCATATTAGTTGCATGGTAGTAAACTAAACCACTCTTTGACTTAAAATAGTTGAGGTTAATAAAACCTTTAGTTAAAATTCGTACAGTAAAGCCATATTATCTTTCTGTTTCAATATGAGAAAATACAATTTTGTATAAATAAGCAAAATTAATATCGGTTGTTCCCTAACCCAAATAGATATATAAAGCTCATTTGGATAACTGCTTTTGTAACTTGTCTAGCTGAGCTTATACAGCTGAAAACTGCAGTACTCTGTTGATCAGAATTATCCAATGTATTTTCTAAATTATTACCCTATTTTATTTAAGATAATGAACATACATGAAAGCTACATGTATTTCTAGAACTTAGAATGTATTTTGTGCCAAGGCATGTACCAGAATTATAGTACAGTGATTTTTTGCCATAATGTGATTGAGGTACATGTTATTTCTCAAGGTCAAAATGTTTTAATATCAACTGAGATATGAGACTGAATTGGCTTTGTCTTTCAGAATTTCTTTATCAGTACAGTATCTAGTTGAGACTGGTGTGCCTTTCTTGGCTTTTTCACTGCAAGAGGTTCCAATTATAAACATATGGCTCTTTAGTTTTTGTTTACATGTACAGTGTCTTGAGGTTTTTTAGGATTAAATATTTGTAAATAACACATTAGTAAGGTTTGTATATATTCAGTTTTGTACATTTAGATTTAATAAATAAAACAAGTAATAGCATTTTATTGTATAAGTTATGTATGTTTCTTGTAATTCCTTTAGGTGGACTTGAAAATCAGCTAAGAGAAAATTTTATCATAACACGATGTGCTTCTGTGGAAGAGTTTCATAAGGTGTTCTATATAGAAATGGCATGCAATACTGCATTTGGAGCAGGATCTACTGGGCTTATTTCTCCTCCTTGTCCAAACCAGTATTTCACCTTAAAGCTGGCAGAAATAGCTGTATTTGATAGAAAAGTAAGAATTAGCTTAACTTATATGTAGTAGCTAGTTTCAGTATTCTCCGTTTTAATATTGGCAATTTTATTACATAGTATTTTCATTAGGCACTACTTCAGTTTATTCCAGCATAAGTAATCCATTATATTTTATGTATAACTGGTGCTAATCAATTATTCGATTGGTTCATTAATTAATTACATTCAACTACCCGATTATAATGTCATTGAAGCAAGAAAGAAATAGGTACTTGGTGGTCATCATTGAAATAAAGAACAAGAAAAAATTTATAACATTAACAATTAGGATTTGATACATGCAGTGGTTAAGGCACAGGTAGCCCATTATGTAGCTTTATGCTTGACAAAAAAAATAAATAATGGCAGAGGTGGGATAGAGATAGGCAAAGTAAAAGAAACACTAGCATTTGAGTAATAGCTGTAGTGTGAGAGGAGATAAGTATTATTGGAAATACATTTTTAATTCAAGAAAAGACTATCTTTTTGATTACCTGGATAGTTGCAATAATCAAACATACTAATAATCAAAAACCCTAATTGTAGTTATTTGACTACTGTCATGAATGATGACAATAACTGATTAAGCTGAACAAAGTTGAAGTCATCGCAAATAGTAATGAAAAATCATAATGGAAATATATATATATTTTAATTACTAGGTAGTTGGAATAATCGAAAATATTATTGATGAAAACACTAGTTTCTAATAAGGTACTCTCCCTCAGCTCATTAACCTTTCTGGTTTTATGCTGCCTTTTATATGCAAACTTTTTTTAAGAAACATGCCACAAGCCTTCTTAATCCCTCTGCTGGAATCCAACATTCCAACATGTCTCTCATGCAAATCATCATACGTCATCTCTCCACCAATAGGAGAGCACTACTATCATGTGACGCATGTGATTCCCTCTACACACCACTATCAAACCATCACTTCTTGTTTGGCAGCTGTTGAATGGAGACATTGTTTTTTTCATTAAGTTAAAGTGGTTTAACTTTCAGTTTTGCTTTTGTTTAATTTCATTTTCAGACTTAATTTCTTTGAAGTTAATTTGATTTCTGAAAGCATTTACTACTCGTATTTACCACTTATTTCCCACATTTGACATATGAATTCCAAAGTTACAGTCACCACTTCGGGTGCCTCACCTGCGTCTGATGCAGTTTCTACAAACATGGGCACGGGCGATCTGTCGGGGGATTTATCGTTGTTCATTCATTGGGAGATTGAGCGTTATATGAGCCAGTCTCTATTGCCTGCCTGTCTGTTGAATTTCGTTCATTGGTGGAACCCTTTTCTATCTGATGTTTAGAATCACAGAGTTCTATCATAGGGATTCATTATCCCCTTTCTTTCTTCTCCTTCTTTATCCAGTGTTTCCATCCCCTTTCCTCTTCTTTGGGACCCCTTAACATGCCAGCATCTTTCAGGGGCAGTTCAAGACCTTATAGCACAACAGGTTATCATTCTGGTCCCCTTTACCATGGAAATCTACCTTTTCTCCAGGCCTTTGGATGACGAAGGTGGACGTTTCCTATGCTTATCTGCATATTCCCATATTGGAGTGTTCTCGTTCTTATCTTTGGTTTATCCACCAGTGTGTGGTATACCAATTTTGTGCCATGCCTTTTGGCCAAACTTCAGCATCTTACGTATTCTGTCAAGTAATATATTCCGTTGCTCGGCATATTCATGCCATGGGATTGCGCTTCCAATTTATATGGATGTCTGACTTCTTGCTCATTTCAAATGGGAATTGGTCAGTCATACTTGTCAGCTCCTCATCAAAGCTGCATGGTCATTCCTTCATCTTATCCAATACTTTGTTCATTTAGTTGTTTTCTTCAACACCCATCTCAGTCAGGCCCAACCTTTTCTTCTCTGGTTCCATTCTTTGGAACTGGTCATATGGAAAGCCCTGTCTACACCCTTACTTACCTTAGTGAGGTTCTATGGTCGTCTATGACATCTCTCATACCTCTAGGCAGGGCTCATATGCAATTGCTTCAATGGATCCTTCATGATCAATGGAACCTCATCCAGGATCCCTTGGATGCTCCTATATCCTTTCCCTCTTCCCTTGTGGACAATCTCCATTTGTGGTTGCACCAGGCCCATATGTTGGCTAGTATTCCACTTCCTCCTCCACGGTCAGATTTACATCTGTTCATGGATGCATCCCTTCAGGGCTGGGGAACATGGGTAGATCACCAAGAGGTTTTGAGTCATTGGTCTGTGGAGAAAGTTCTTTTCACAGCAGTGTCTTTGAACTCCTGGCTGTCTGTAGGGTTTTGGATCATTTTCATTCTGTTACCAGCAGTCAGCTGGTTATGATCCATTCTGACAATGGTGGTGGCTTAAATCAACCACCAAGGCGAGACCCAGTCAAGATCCCTTTGTTTTTGCACTTTGGATCTTTTCTATTGGGCCCACACACATCATATTTGTTTGATATTGTGTCTTTTCCTGGGTGCATCAAATCTCATGGTGGATTGTCTTTTCCAACTGGATCACGTTTATCCTATGAAGTGGTCCCTGCCTCTTGCAGTTTTTTGGTGGCTCTGTCATTTGTTGGGTACACCCAATATCGATGCTTTTCCACCACCCTCAATCACAAATTACCTCTGTTTTGGTCCCCGGTTCCCCATCTTCTGGCTTTGACTATAGATGTCTTCAGCAAGGATTGGTCCTGCCTTTCCTTTATGTTTATCCTCCTATCCATTTACTTCATTGAGTAGTTCCCTCATCCATACCACTCTGTGCAGAGTCCTTCTGATTGCTCCTTACTGGCTCGCTCAACCTAAGATCCCTCGGTTGCTCCAGCTCCAGGTGGTCCCTCCCCTCCCTCTTCCCAACCTGTTACATCAACCCCAGTTGCCAGTTCCCATCCTTCATCTTCATACTTGGCTTTTGTCTGGTCCCTGGCAAGGAGTTCCAGATGCTCTCTTATAGTAGCTTCTCACTTAGCCCATTCCATTCATTTTTCTTCTTTGGCTATTTACCACACTGATGCTTTTGCTACATCCATTAACAACAAATTGCCTTGGTCTTAGCCTCTGGTTTTTCATCTTGCTCTGGCTATCAGTGTTTTCAAGCAGGATTGGAGCTATACATTTGTCTATCCTCCCATTCTACTTCTTCTCTCCATGACTTCATTCATCCTTGACACTCCATGTTCAGTCCTTCTGATAGCTCTTTCCTGACCATCTCAGCTGTGATTTTCATGGCTTCTCCAGCTCCTACTTCCTCCTACATTACTTTTTCCTCTGTCTCTGTTCCTTCTTCACCACCCTCAGTCACCAGTGTTTCATCAAGACCTTCCTGTCCATCTTCACTCCTGGTTTTCCTTTGGTCATTGGCGAGGTGATCCAGTTTCTCTTGATGATTGGCCTCATTTCTGGCTTGTTTCATTTGCACTTCCTACTTGGAAGTTCCTCAGTGCAAATGGAATCTTTCTACCATTGGTTCCTGGGTCCAGGGTTTTCCTCTGATCAACCCACTGTTCTTTGTCATGTGGATTTCCTCTCTTGACTTTTGGATTGAGGTTCTGCCCCACACCTTTCATTTTTCCTGATCCCACCGGTATTTCTCTATTCTACATTTTACCTGTGGATGTGTTCCTTCTGGGTTTGTTGCCTGCTGCAGTGGGCTGTCCTTCTGGATGGAGATATTAATGTGATCCTGCACTGCCTCACTTTGCCTATATTTGAACCACTCTCCCAGTGCTCCTTGTTTCACCTTCCCTTATGTCTTCCTTCCTTAACCTATTTGCCGGTGGATGTTGGTGGCCTATTTATTTACCATCTATGTTTCATGTACTCTTTTTCCTTTTTAATATCTTCTCTTTTCTCCGTATTGTTTTCCTCCCACTTTGGTGGCTCATGAGGATAACTCCTCCATTTAGCCACTTTCCCTTCCTTACGTTTCATACCTTTATCCTCGTCCTGATCTGGATAGACTTCTATGTTCCGTATGTGCTCTTCTTTGTTATACTGCCTGCACAGCTTCCTTCTGTGATGTCTGTCTCTGCCTCTTTCTTCCTTGGTAACTGTCGTCAGTTTGTGTTCTTTCTCCTTCCTCCTTCATCAATTAAGTTTGACTCTTCATTTGATTGGCTTCTTCCTCTTTATAACCTTCCTCCTGTACTTTGTCCCAAGTGTTTTTTCACCTAGTTGGACACCTTACCTTTTCATTGGTATTTCATCTTTGTCATCCTTTGGAGGTATTTCTTCAATCGGGCATGTGGACTACCCACGATACATTTGTATCTCACTATTTGCATCAGATTGTAGTTTTCCTCTTCGGTTTATTGTCTTCTACCTATATCCATTCTAGAATGTCAGAATTCAATGAAACTTTGACTGGGTAAGTGTTTTTTCTTCTTATTTTTCCTTTTCAGGGTCCCTTTTCCCTTTTATTAATTTTCATTGTTTGGATCCCGCCCTGTGTGAGTGGTGCCTGACCATATATTCTTTAACTGCTCAAATTCATGCTGTCAAGCCATTTTGACTTGCATATTATAATTCCATGGCCACACAATGCACACTGCAGAGATGGGGTGTTCCACAAGATTGCTTGTAGATTTATCTTACCAATAGAATTGCTTCATAAGTTTGCCTGACCCAGACCCTACCCACTCATGGACTACATGAGTAAAGCAGAAGAGGATAGCTGCCCATCATTACCATGCCTTGTATTAAATAAATCGGTATGGTCTGCTTTTAAATATAGGGTTTCATGGTCACCCATTGCACTGTCTCAGGTGTTGTCAGTCCTCGGATTCTCCACTGCATTTTACTCCCTTTTCTTCTAGTTGAGTTTGAAAGTTTTTTTCCACTTTCCAGTTCCAAGTTGCTTGTGTGGTGGACCTTGGAGGTATCCTTCTAACTGAGAGGTATACAATAAAAACAGTAAAGACTGCATTCATTTGAGAGTAGGGCAGTGCTGATATAGATGATGAGATGGCCTCTAAATGGATGCTCTATCTCTGCATGGTTTTGTCTGAAGGGATGTTGTAGCTTTGGAGTGATGGACCTTGGAAACATCATCCTGAATGGATTAATGAAATACAAACAATATATAGAAATTATTATAAAACCATTCAGTTGAGAGTAGGGTGGTGGTGTTATGCTAGTATAGATGACCTGATGTCCTCCAATATGAAACATACAAAAAATTGCAGTTCACCCCTTTGATTGGGATTTCTCATCCTATTCCCACATGAATGTCGGTTCCCAGTCACCGGGTTTTGGATTTAGAGTAGAACCAATCACCTTAAATCCTCATACATATATTGCATGACCCACAACAGTGATGGAGATAGTTGTGGATTGTTACGGTTCTTTCCCTTCAACTATCCCTCGATGTTTCTTATTCCGAGGATGTTATTACACTTGGGTTGGTTCTGGTCAATTTCCTTTTTGAGGGAGATGGTTTACATTATGTAGACATTTCCTTGATGTCGAGTTCTCGGATTGATCTATCAATTTATCATATTCACATGTGCCCTGTTCATGAGTCAGGGGACACTAAATTCCCTCTGGTCTCATGAACTTGAGGTGAAGACGGTATGATCCTCTTTCCTACCTGAGTTTTGGATTGTAGTCGACTTGCCAGTGGTATGATCCTCTTTCCTATCCCCAAATGAATTTCTGTACCAAGCAGCTGGATTTTGGATTGTAGTTGACTTATCAATGGTATGATCCTCATCCTATCCCTGTGTGGATGTCAGTTCCCAGTGGCGTGGGTTTTGGATATAGTTCACTTGCTGTGTATGGTCCATCATGCCCTAGCTACTCTACATCTAGGGGTACATCCTTTTCATGTTACCCACTTTTACAATTTCTGGGATTGAGGTTCATAAATATTACATGGTTTGGATCACTTTCCAGCCATACTTCTCTTCTAGGTGGATATGCTCTTCTGTTTTACACCCATATATATGATGGGCGAAGAGTCCACCTGGTTCAGAAGAGGTGCAGTTCTCCACATGAGATCTTAGAATCTGATTGTGTCCTATTAGGAAGTGTTCTTCAGATGTTTTCAAAGGATGCTTCTTTCTTTCTTCCCCTCACACTAGTCCCTCCACCTGTTCAGTGTGCGATTCTAGCTATTTATGTGAGCAGAGGCAATGTACCATATCGAAAGTTATAATTTTCCAACACTGAAAATATACTTCCAATATACTTCCCCCCCCTACCTCCCCACTGAAAACCAGTGCTTCCATTTTCTTCCAAAACTCAAAGTGATAGTTTGGTAGAACTGAATAGAGTAATGAGAGTATGTTGCACTCTTATTGGTGGAGGGTTGATGCATTATGATTTGCATGAGAGATGCATTGGAATCAGTCACTTCCAGTGGAGGCGAGATAGAAGGCTTATGGCATATGTAAAATTTTTTTTCATATAGAGGGCAGCATTGAACGAGAATAGCTCTTTATGTGAGAGGTGGTAAGTACCTATTAGAAATACATTTTCAGTGTAGGAATATTATAACTTTCATGTTACTGTGTTGTTGAATTATTTATTTTAAGAGATAAACTTGCTAAACTTGTAAATAAGAAGTTTCCACAGAATACACTTAGATGTTGTTTCAAAAGGTAAATAAGACTTTTGACATATTTTTTAAAAATACAAATATAAACTTTCTGAACTGCAGAGGTCAGTAATTGGTTATAAATATACTTGTTTCTTGTGTTTAAAAGGCTATGTTGCTTGACAAAGAATCAGTGAACATGCACCATTATTATTTTATAACAACCAACTCAAAAATGTTTGCATGTGTGAAAAGATAGCATGATTCTCTGGTTGAAAATGAACATTTTAATTGTTTTTGGTTTTTACTGAGCAAAGCTTACACCTTATAACGTCTGTTGTAAATTAAGATGTTATGTCCAGCTATCAGTATGCAGGAGTCCTGCTATGATATTTTAACTAGTTACCAATTTTATTATTATTATTTACCCTACTATGTTGTGGAACTTTTACAATAATATGTCTTCACTTCATTTAGTTGGTTTTTTATAATTTTTTGAATCTCTTCCGGCTGGACTTGCAAAATTCTATAAATCACAATACATAATACATTTAAGTAATGCATATAATACTTTTAATTTTGCAGCATATTATTTGTTGTTTTTAATAGTTATTTGGTTTTTCTGAAATGTTCGTTTTTTCACTATTTAGTTATGGTAGAGATATTATGTGACCTGGTGATAAAATTTATTGTTTTTATTTAGGTTTATGGTCTTCTGGTTGATTTGGAAGTGCTTCTGGGTATGGTGAAATATCTTCCATCGGAAAGCTCACAAGCTTATGAAGCACTATATGCAGCAAATGAAATGGTAAACACAATTGTACCAGGATGCAGGTTAGTGTTAAATGGTGTAGGTTATAATATACAATGAAATATAATGAAACCTCATAGATCAGTGTCAAGACCAATTTGAAATTTCAGACATCTAAGACGTATGAAATTTTGAACTTCACCCTAAACAAGTGGATTATTTATAACCAGAGCTTGTTTATGCAATTGTCATATATTCAATGTTTAGAAGGAATTTTGGTAAATGACAGAAAAATCAATATCAGTAACCAGTTTTTGAAAAACTAGATTACATAAATATTATTTAAACAAACAAATGTGCCTAATTTTTTAGGTATTTAGGTACACTGATTTCCTACAAAAAATGTGTCATATGCAGGTATATCTTGCATTTTGTATCTTGTTTTTATATGTAGTTTTTCAAAATATTTTGTTTGTTCTAGGTGAATGCATTTTTTATATAATATTTGGTCAAGAAAATTGTTAAGCTCATTTCATTCTAGCTGCCGTTGTTCTCTGTCATTCCCTGGGAGATAAAATGCCATGTATGTGGAGATCAACAGCAGTGTCCTCCAATGATAGGTCAGGTGACATTTCAAGTTCAGAAACATTAATTATTTCTCTGCACCACTAAGAGCTATTATCTCACACATAACTGCCATGAAATTTCCTATGCATACCACAAGCCTCCCACCTCTATTCGTGTCTACATGTTCTGTGCCAGCCTATGATATAGCGATCGTAATGCTGTAGCCCTCCAGTAGGAGGGTGACACTATCTCCATGTGCAGTAATCCCTGAAAGCACTAACACATGATCATAGGCTCACTCTTTTCTTGGCACTGCTGATGTTCAGATGTGTTTTTTCCTGGGCTTTTTGAGTTTTTACTCATCTTCATTTACTGCCTGTCCTTATTTAGTGTTACTTTACTTTAGTCCCTGTTGCACCTTCGTTTCAGTTGCCTGATTGCAAGTTCATTTTCTCTAGCTACCATATTTATTCTTTGTAATACTTCCAACAACAATTTCAAAGTCCAGTCACTCCTCTTCAGGCATTTTCTCCAAATGTGTTAATAGCAACCAGAGGCTCCTTATCTGTTCATGGATCTGATGTTCAGTTGTTATCCCTTTAGCTCACTTAGTAGAGCAAGTACATGACATATGACGGGTCTCAGATTTCAATCTGTATCATGGTACTGTGATTATAGCAGACAGATATAATACATTACCATGGTCTTATAGAGCAGTGTCGAACTATGGTGTGACCGTATGTTTACTGCTGATGGTTTTCCAGCATGATATTACCACTATCGTACAGCAGTTGTTTGGTTACTACCTTCTACCTACTTCTGATCTAGTTCATGTCACTCATCATTCTGTATTATTATTTTCTGTGCAGCCTGCCTCACCTATGGATGATTTTTGCCAGCTCTTACATGTCCAGTCTTTGCTTCTGGCTCTTCTCTCTGATGAGGAACAGGTACCTACTTTCATGTTTACTATGCTCATAATGTAGGTATGTGAGTTTCTGTGTCTTTTGTCTGTATACCATAATAATTCTTGGGTTGCTTTACTTTGTGAGCTTTCTTGTGTTCCACCTTAACAATAGTCATCATCTTTCTTTTTGTTTTAATTTTTGTTAATCCTTTGATATAGCCTAAGGTCATTACCCTTCTGTATTTTTATATCCCAATCTTGTGTTCCTTCTCTCTGCTTTAGATGATCATCTTTCTCATCCTTTATCTTTATTTCCTGCAGTTTGTTCTTTTTATACTTATCTTTACTCCTTTAGTACATCTTCACCTTTCACCTCCTGACTGTTTCTTTTCATTGGGACCATGATTGATTTGATGTGGACACCCATTTTTCTTTCTTTGCTCCCTTTGGTTTCTGTTTCTTCATTTACTGCTTCTATTCTGTCTTGTATTCTCTGTTCTTGGGGTCTTTTCAGTATGGATATTTTTTTGGGGGTGTCTTCCTCCCTTCTTCTTCTCTGCTTGACTCATGTCTTGCACCTTTTCTCACAGCATCAGGCTTGCCACCCATTTTCCTTCAGTTCTCATCTCATTAGACCACAGATACATCTGTTGGCTATCCAACATAAGGAGTCCTGTGGAACTACTCTCTCTCCTGTTCCTCATCTTATCACTTCTATTCTCTATTTCTCCTCCCACTGTACAGGCCATGAAGGCACTTTATAGTAACTTTTCCTTGGAGTTGGTTCTTGGCTCTGGAACTTTTGGTGTCTGCTTCTTCCTCTATGAACACCTATAGTCTCCCTTCACTGGCAACCTTGGGTTATGCATATTATTTCTTTAGGGTTGTCCCTGCTTTTTGCACTTCACTTTCTCTTATCTTCATTCTCTCACCTATCCTCTTCCCTCCAATCTTCTGTGTCTTCAATATCTTCCTGGTGGCTTTCTTGATTCTTATACCTTATACTAGGAAGGCTCAACCATTTCCTTTGCATCTTCATGTCATGAAGATCTTTGTATTTTCTTTCTCTACCTACATTTGAGGTTTTCTTGCTTTTATGGTTTATGGATTCTTTCTAAACATGCATCACCTTCAGTAGGCTTTGGAGGATCTGTAGCACATGTCTTATGATCCCTTATCTGCTCATATAACTTTTCACACTTCTTTCCCTCACTATCTCTCATGGGGGCTTTATTGCTTCAACATTTCCTGGTCCATTCCACCTTAACCCTCCACCTGACTTGCATCTTTACACTGATGCCTTCCTTTCTGGTGGGGGGACCAGTTCTTTACACCTCCACTTTCTTTGGCGTGTGGTGTCTGGTAGAGCAGTCTATGCTTATTGACATTCTGGAGGTGATTGCAACTTTTTGGGCGTGCCAAAGTTTTTGGTTGCAGTTGTTAGGTCACCTTATGATGATGCATTCTGACATTTATATGGTCATTTTTTCCCTCACCCACCAGGAAGGCACCCACTTCTGGAACCTATGCTTTTTTTTGTCATAGCTCCATCTCTTTTAACAATAGCCAGTTACCAAGCAGTATTATCCACACCTTACACCTCTTGTCCAACACTTTCCCCTTTTTTTGGTTGTTCTCTCGTTCTACTCCCTTGTGATTATCTTTGTTCAGACATTCACTTTTTCCTCCTACTGTCCTCTATATTGTAAGGACTTATTGTTTGTTCTATGACCACTCCTTTATTCCAAAGACTTAGACTGTCTGGGAAGGTAACTATTAGTTTTCTCCAATTCTCATTTGTCTTTTAGGTTCAGTTAAGGCTGTCTGTTGTTCTCCTACATGGATTGCCCCATTCTTGGATACTGCAATCACCTGTTTTTTCCATGGCTGTATGGACTTATTTTTGTTCACTTTAACCAGTTGGTTTGTCAGCTTATCCAGCTGGCATACTTCTTTTTAGATGAGTTTAACCAATCCCTTTATAATGTCATCTACTGTCAAAATTGACATATAACAACTATCTTGTTCCGTTTTGATGCCAACCTTTTTTGGTGATTATGCAGGCTGGTATGTGGATTTCTAACACATTCATTTTCTATTACTTATACCACTAGGTGGTCTTTTGTGCTGATAGTTTTCACCTCCTTCCAGTTACTATTCTCCAAACTATCTGGAGGCTCTGGTATGGTGAGTTTTGACTGTAGGTTTTCTCTTCCAGCTCCTTCACTGCTTTAGTTTGATCTTCATGTCTGTCACAAATTTCATAAGACCACCACGTATGTACCATTTCTTTTGAACACCCCCCCCCAAAAAAGGAAAAAAAAAGGAGGCAAAACACACACACACACAACTTATCATTTGGAACTAGCACTACATTCATTATGTTTGGTATCATTGGATTGTGCTGAGTGGCTGGCATTTCCTTGCAGAGAATACTTACCTGAAATCTGCATCAATTGGGGAAGGGGGAGTATTGAAAGTGTTAAAACTCATTCACTTCTGCTCAGTATCTGCTGTTAAGATATGGTTTCTGCAAGACTGTTTTGGCAGAATATGTTTCAAAACGACATGACCATTTCTACACCTTTTACAAAAAAAAAAAAATAAGACAACACCAGGTGTAGTCCTGCCCTCACACCTGGCTTCCACTTGCTGTCTTTAGTGGTATTAATCCATTCCATTGTCTTTCAGTAGGGACTCAATTCCAGATGATCATACTTGGTGACAGTAGTCCATGCACACACTCTTATATTCTCCCCTACATGTATTCCTGCCCTCCTGTTCTTCTAGTTGAACATGAAAGAACCCTTACTTCTCCAGTTCCAAGTTGTCGGGAATATTGATATGGAGAGATTCCTTTATGAATAGTCTTCCCCTTTGCAGTGTCTTCCAAGCAGTTCCTGGTGGATACGTTCAGCTGGATGGGACTTAGATTTGCCTTGGGATGGAGGTGAGGGCTCTTCTTCCACCTGTCATTAGTAGTTGACCAAGACAGAACAGCCTGAAGCCCTAACCACACTATATCTTCTAATGTTCCATTAACCTTGGTGACACTTTACCACCAGCACTTGATTTTCCTGATATTTTTTGTTCTACTATCTCAGTACTAAAAAAAATAACAACTTTAGAGCTAAGAATGTTTCCTACTTGAGAAGGAGAAGTCTCCCATTGGGCACTGCTCCACTAGACAACCCCTGGTCTCATGGAAGCAGATATGGGGCAAATACTGGAGATCAGTAATCAAATTCAAAAATGAATACTTCATATTTATATGAATACGAATACAGGAAAAATTGTAAGTATTCAAATATGAATACATAGAAGTGTATTCATGAAAACATTGGATTCATAGACCATATGTTTAGTGAAACATCAGTCAAGTTTAAATTTGGGATCAAATGCTGCAGCCAAGCAAAAGATACTTCATTGCTCATACTGAGTCAGCTGGGCATGAATGGATTTCTTCATTGCAGAGACAAGATTGAAATTATATGTGGACTATATGCTGTCAGTCTCAGTCATCAGCCTATAAACACATGGCACTACATAACTGTAGGTAACAATGTTTTGACCCTGAGTGAAATTTGTTGCCTCCTCTAAAGGTGTCAG